TCAGCTGCAACCACAAACTGTATATAAAAATGTTTAAACACACAAAAAAAACATAACAGATTTAAAAAATGTAGATGACGATCCATTGATGAGTGGACCCATTAAAACACGTTTATCATTAATTTTCAAATTAACAATCCCAATTTACTACCACAACCGTCAAGGTAAAACAAATTGGCAACCTTATAGGTGATCTTAAATAGCTAAATAAGCAAACTGAAGACCTTCATTGTCTCTCTACGGCTACAAAGTCTTAACGAATGCATCGTTTCTTAGAGTACATTAAACACAAAATAAGTTACTATCCAAGTTGGCACACCCAACAGTTGTCTTATATCCTATCCTTACATTTCAAAAGAGTCAAATCCAAGAAACCTAAGAACAACACATTTTTACACATGAAATGACAGTTTAGGTTTTTGAACTCACACAAATAACCAAAGAATGAATAATGAACCACTTATGTCTTATGAGTTCTCACACCAAAAAAGATCTTCAGGGGCAAATCTCCAGCGCACACTCCAAGACTACATCAACAGGCCCAACACACATCAATCTATCATTGATTTCCAGCTACCATCTATCACCTACCATCAAGGTAATTTTAACGACCCGACAACTGAGGGCACGAAATTTATGTTAAGATACCATGAAATAGAACACCCCGAATCAATTATGCTTATTCAAAAAAAACCCAATACATGATGAAGTTACTAACAACCGAAGACAATAACATAACTGATGATCATCAAGTTACTCTTACCATCATATACTACAACCAAAACACGACTGCAAGACTTGACGTCGACCTTATCATTACCAATCTGAGGCAACAAATAGGCCTCCAACTATAGTAAAAGAAAACGATACATGCACTATATGCTTTGGAAATTATAACAATGTAACCTATCTATGCTCTCTTACTTGCGGTTATACTTTCCATTTCCGCTACATTGATCAATGGCTTGGTACAAACATAAGCTTTCCCATATTTAGGGAAACTCATCTATGATTCAGCATCATTACAATTTATAAGGGTGTTTCACTATGTTCCAATTTTCAGTTTCATTTACGTACTGTTTTTAATTTCCGTTTTAATTTTTAAAGAAAATATATAAATGTTTTTTTCTCATTTCTTAACATGTTCCATTGCCAGAATTAATTTCTTACCAAAAAAAAGTATGAACAAAACTTCATTACACATGTTTAAATTCAGATTAATTAACCTCTAAAATGAAATTTCAAATGCATTTCCTTCTATATACTGTCCATGTGGTACTTAACAAAAACATCAACTTTATTTTATGTTTAAATTCCAACTAAATTAATTTTGTTACGACTATCAGCTCTTTATTATACTTTTATTGAACCAATTAATCACAAGCACTTATACTATTCCACTTTGAAATAAGCAACTTCAAAACAAATTAATATACTATGGTCGTTACCCACTATCATCAGAAAGAAATATCAATTTTCAGTATATTTTCATTTTCATATTTTTGAATATATGTTCTTTACTAAGATCATAAAATGCATTGTAAATTCATATAAGAAGAAAATATACGAATCCGGCGCGTAGCTATATTTATAATTTAAAGTTAAAAATTTATTTAAGTTATTGGTGGTTGTTTGCGGGGTTAGCATTTTAATGTAGTGTTTGTGTAATTTGTTCCAGTTTTTAGAACTTTTGCTCGGGATAAAATGATTTGTGAAAGACAAATGGAAGAAGAAACTGATGTGGTGCAGATTTTGAATTGTGGTCGTTCTAATTTTGTAAGCCGTTGTGTTTTATCTTTGAAAGTTGTGATTAAAAAAAATTCATATGATTGATTAATAAGCTCGAATTTTGATCCAGTTAAAATTAAAGTTTAGGAAATTAGTGGTTGTAAACTACGACATGTAAACGGGTTGTTTTCATAATTATGTTTTAGTTGTTCTTAGTCTGTTACTAATTAGTTTGTAGTGGAAAATTTATAGTGGGTAGAAAGTATGTGATGCAAGCTATTCAATAGAATATGGCCAAAATAATATAGTGTCTTCATTATTACGTTTTGTAAGCTTTGGAACTTGCAAATGCTTCTAAGATTTTCAAATTATATGCTGATGTAAGGTAATTGTTATTGACATGTGAAAATGGTTCTCACAAGTTGAAGACTCCACTTTGTTTTCAGTAACTTAAAACAGTTCTCTACCTCTTGCAATTCACCATATCTTCAGATGCATCATGTTTAACATATGTTGTGGATTTTTCCTTTAAAACCTTTTGACTTGGAAGTTGTGTTCTTCTCACACTGCAGCTTAAATTAGTATGTCACATAAAGAAAACAAAAAATAAATGATCATGATTTTATGCTTAGTTAAGATCATAAGATTGGTTGATCATTAATTGTTAAAATATCTTAATGTTTCATTCTATGATGTTGTGAAATATGTTAGACGTTGTGATTGGTTGCTCATTCTGTCATGGCTGGGGTTTGAGGGGGTGTTTGGGGTGATGCTTTAGGTGGTTTAGCGTACTATGTGACTGCCTAAGATGTTGGTTAGAAGCTATGGTGTTAGTGGTTGGTGTGGATTGTTTATATTTGAGCGGAAGATGTGGTTGTTGGCTCCTGTACGTATGGTAGTATATGTTTTTGGTATAGTTTCTTATAAAATGTTATATTGAGTTTTGTACATTTGTTATGTAAGACGATTCGGATTAGGACGTAGTAGGGTGTACATTGATGGGTTTTTACTTAGAACCAATCTCTATTTCCAAGCCAGAGATGTTTAGACAGCTCTTAGTCATACTATGTAAAATATTTGCAATAGATCGTAAAACAATTTGAACAAAATTACATAAATGTAGACCTAAAAAGTAAAGTCAAAAAAGAATTTTTTAATTAAAATCTTTAATAAATCATCTATTAGACTTTTTTCTCCATAGGGGGCAAAAGTTGACACTTGTCATTCTATAACTTGTTGAATAATTTTTAAGCCCAATTATAAATATCTTTTATTTTCTTTGGATTTTAATAGATTTTTACATTAAGCTCAATTGCAATTATAAGAATCTTTTATTTCATATCATCTCATTTAAATATCTAATTTTAATACTATTTAAAATATTTTTCTATATATTTTATACTATTTTACATTTATAATATTCAGTTTACATTAAAATATTATTTATATGCAAAACATACAAAAAATAATAAAAGGCACAATTTTAGCCACAATATTTTTGATTTTAATTTTAGAGTACTCTGTTTATTGTGATATTGTTGAAACCTACGAAATAAATATAGTGTGGATTTTATTTTATTGATGTCTAACTCTTTGTTAATTATAATTATTTTAAGAAATGACGTAATAATTATAAAATACAAAATTATTTAAAGTTAGGATTATTTAGTATTTCAGTTATATTGATTTTTAAATTATTTGTAAATTTTATGGGTATTTTTTATTTGTATTTTCCATAATAAGATAAATACATAACGTTCACATGAAACAATTTCATCCTAACTGAATCTCCTATAGCATTATACCCAAAATTACTAAACATAATAATATATGTGACAAAGAAAACACGTTAATAGAAAAAAAAATGAATTACAACAAAAAAATGGTTACATGAAAATTAAGGTATAGGAACATATATAGTAAACCACTAATATAAATACGGTGTAAACTACATTCACATGAAATATAACATTTAACTTCAAATGGAGAATAATCCAAACTTAGTCCAAATAAATAAAGTTGTTTTCATGTTCTGTCAATCTTTCATCAGTCATCTCAAATCGCCTACAATCAAAGTTTCAAAATTCACATGCAATGTACTCCTACATTAAGGAAAATTAAGATTATTACCATTAACAACCAACAGAACAGCCATAGCTGAAGCAAATAAAAGAAAATGTAAATGATATAAATGCTTATCATTCTTTGGCACATGACATTCGTCTTGTTCACTACACACTCAAATATCACGAGAACCTATTATTTTCTCTTCGGCATATCCAACAACGAAAACCAGACGACTGTAAAATTATTGAAATACACATCTATTAACCTAAAATTAAACTATAATTAGCAAATTATAACAAATTTATAATTCAAAAATCATCAATAAAACAACTGAAGACAAACATTAGAAATTTAGAAACAGAAACCTCTCCTTTCTACTAAGATACTTTTGAAGATATAGTACCTTAATGCATAATATAATTTCCCCTAGAACAAATGACTAATTTACTATTTAGTAGAAACAGTTATAAACTACAATGAACAAAAAAAATGTCCAGCAAACTACAAAACACAATAACTCAATCTATGTTTGCTAGAAACCAGTATCGACCATCTAATTTTAACATCTCCCAACAACATCATACGAAGCAGCTAAAAGAACATACACACAAAATGTAAAAGTTTATCCATAAATACTGATAATTCGAGGTTACAAATAATTTTAAACTCTTTAAACTAAATAATAAAAGATACGAACCCTGCGCTACCACTAGTAATGCATAAAGCCAAGATTATAAAGAATATAAAGTATAGACATGTTAAAGAACATTTTAAACACATTATCCAACATGTAACTTTACCGTAATGAAAAGCACACACTGTTGACAAAATCTTTTGTAGTCGTAATGAAATGGTCATACAAAGAGATTATGTTAGATTAATGCAAATTTTTTTATATTATAGGTTAAATTATGAAGAGTATAAAAAAATTCTACATCTTAATATAAAGTATAATAAAATTTGAATATACTATATGAATATATATGGTATTAATTCAAGGTCTAAATATAAAGCTAAGTACATAATTCATTTGAATATAAAGAATATAGATCCCTAATCGAAATGAATGAGATATAAGCCAGCGAAATAGAATAGAGAATTAATAGGTTCAAGAAGTATAACATATCTAATATCTAATACGAAGTCTAATTTAAGAATCCACCTAGAAAAAGTTCTAGTGTTCTATTTTAATAAAAGAGATCTCAGGGTAATAAAAGGGTAATATATAAGAGTGATCATGTTCTTAATAGAGTAGATAGTTAAATAATTACTGTGATCTTTTTGATTTGTCAACACAACTGTAAATATTTCTACACATTAACATAAGACAGCGAAAATGTCCTCTTTTTCCATGGGAGTAAAGCCTTCCCAAAACTAATTATATCCTCATGAACAACATATATAGTTAGTTACTTGACATGCAAGAAAACGCCTCTTCTTCGTCAGATTGGTTTAGTCCCGAAGTGATCTCCTCAAACCGTCCATGCTTCTCTCCACACCTGTTTCTGCAACACTGCCTCAAGTTGGAGTCTATTGTTGAACTGTTCGGTGCGCAATTGCAGAACATGCTCTCAAGCCCTAGGCCTGATCTCCAATTAGGAACCAGAGAAGCAATCTCTCCATCGATCATGTTAGCTATCTTTGTCACATCACGGTCGTCCATCTCCAGCTCTTCCACCATCTCTCTTGCCACGCTTATTGCCGTGTCGCTTTCGATGTCAAACGGGAAGTATATGTTTCTCACAAGCCCTGCAAAGTTGAAAACCAGAGGAAACTTGTTATGGTCTGAAACATGGAACTACTAGAACTGAATAAAGTTTGTCTGGTCACAAACCTTCCTTGTCGGCTATTCTTAGTCGTAGGAACAGTCCATCACCATTGTCTCTTCTCTTACCTTTTATGCTTATATGTACATTGTCAAACTTGTTATCATACTCTTCAGCTTCTTCATTATCATCGCTTTGAAACTCAAAGACCTCTATTGATTGTGACTCCACCGTCTCATCTCCATTGTAAGTCCATGGGTTCGAGTAGTGAAGATGATCAAAAGTGGACTCACCTTCATCGGTACAAAGAAAATGATCGTCTAGTAGTTCACGAGCTGAGAGTCTAAGAGATGCACTGGCCAAGCATTTCTCTATAAAGACTCTAACCTCACTGTCCCTTACCTTGTCTAATGAGTCTGGTTTCTTGCCCTGAGGAACAAAGTTTACCAATCTTAAAACTTAAAACAAAAGCTTGTAAATAGAAGAAGCTTGGTGATTCTCACCGATATAACTCTCTTGTAGATCTGAGCAGGGTGTGTACACTCGCTGTATGGGTAATCAAACGTTACCATTTCCAAAACGCACATCCCAAACGAGTAAATATCGACTAGTTGGTTATATTCTTCTTGATAGACTTCAGGAGCCATGAACTCTGGTGTCCCTAAGAGGTGGGCAAGAAAAGAAAAGCTTTCAGCATCACAATCTAATTATGAACTCCACAAAGTAAAAGCAGAGAAAATGTTGTATACCAACACAATGAGCAGCGTGTGAGTTTTGTAACATAGCAGCAAGACCAAGATCTCCAATTTTGACTTCTCCTTGGTTACCATTAACAAAAATATTGTCACACTTGAGATCTCTGTGAATCACAGGAGGGTCATGGGTGTGAAGATAGTTCAATCCTCTTAAGATCTGTCTACACCAATGCTTCACTGCCCTTATGTTCACTCTCTTGTGCTTTAGCCTATACCTATATTCACCAGTAACAACATCATTAATGATACATGTTTATGATTTAAAGGAGTTAAAAAGAAAATAACTTTAGATATGAGATAGACAGAGGAAGCTTACTGTCTCAAGGTACCAGAAGTGAACATTTCAGTGATGAAGTTTATGTTTCGATTCTCGGTATCGACCCAAGAAGTGTAGAACTTCATGATGCTCTTATGTTTTAGTGTTTTGAGGAGGTGAATCTCACAGTAGAGCCTCTCCAGCTCTTGAGGACTCTGCAAGAAATCATAGAGCTTTACTTGGTTCCATGCTACTTCTATACCCTCATATTCATCAAATCCTCTGTAACTGCAAAGCCAAATAATGGAACCACAAAAATATTTTTTCTATTTCAGAATCATCAAAGTTAGTTTATTTTTTCTTATCTATGATCAAGATGGCTTTTGTTTATACAGAAACTAAAGTGGTTTAAGCCAAAAGAGCAAAGTGGGTTATGTTCCTATATTGTGTAAAATAGGAACAAGATTTTAAGATAGAGAGAGAGAGTTTGGATTCTTACACGGTCTTTGAAGATCCTTTACCAAGAACTTCATTGTACTGCAACAAGAACACACTAAAACCTTAACAAACAAGAAAGATAAACAATTAATTGAGATTTAGAGATGAGATAGATAGATTATATACTCTTCCATATCTTCCAGAAGGATCAACTTCAACAAACTCAGAGTGATCTGGTTCAAGATGGCTGATGTTGTTCATCATTTCCTAAGCAGAGAATCAAGAAGAGCAAAACATAAATGTAAATTATAAAGAAAATCCCAGAAAAAAGAAAGATAAATATATGGCAATATTTTTCATTTGATTAGTTTTGTGTGTTTGTTTTTCGTGTACCCTTTTCATTGGTAGTATCATCTTTGTACCTCTAACATAATAAAGTTAAGCAAATAAAAACATTAAACTCGTGTAAATGAGGAGAGAGGTTCGTTTGAGCTTTGTTGGAAGACAAAAGAAAATCAGATTCTTTTTCTTTCTTTCTTTTTAGCCTTTTTTGCTTTACATATGTATAATTTTGCTTCAGTTTCTTACATAGAAACATAACTATCTCATGAAAGCTGTTGCAAGACGCACAGAGCGTGGTCCAAACGAGTAAACAAATGTTTCATCTTTTTCTTCCTTTTTTTTTCTCAACAAAAAAATGTTAGGTTGAACTACATTTTCTTAAGATATCTACCATCTTTATATTATTATACATTTTCCTAAGATATCTACCTATCTTTGTGTCAAAGAAGATACTATATGAGAGAAATGTTTTATCTTATTATTTAGTATTAGTTTATAAATAGATGCGATTTAATGAATATCATTAATGCATAGTGATATGTAACTGTCGTTATTTACTCCATTCATTTCAATTTATTTGTCATTCTAGATTTTTACACACGGATTAAGAAAATAATTAATTTTACATATTTTCAAAATAAAAACACAATTACTTATGCACCTAACCACTTCTCAACCAATGAAAAAAATAGAATGACATTTAAAATCAATGAATTTTGCATTGAAATTATAAAACGACACTTATTTTGAAACGGAAAATTTACTCTAGAATGACATCTAATCTGAAACGGAGAGAGTATATGTTATATTGGGGGTGATTGGTTGGTACGTAGCTAGTGACTTTAACTTTATTTTCTATCTACAACCACAAAAATTACCAATCATGTTTTATTTAGTTTTTAAAGTTAAAGTAAAAAAAAAATGGTTGTAGCACCCTTGTTTTTTAAAGCATTATAATATATGATGTAGAAAATAAATATTGCTGTAGGAATATCTTTCGATTTTTATTATTTTTTATTTAATTTTTACAGCTACATTTGCTACAGCTACATCAAAATATTCTCCAAATAAAATTCTACAGTAAAATCTTTACAGCTACATCCTAACCAATCACTCTCATTATCACAATAAAAAGCAAGCAATCTTCTATATTATGTGTGACGCGGATTTAGCTCTTTCTAAGAGCATCTCCAAAAATACATTCTATTTTATAGTTTGCAAAATTCTATATATGAAGTTTGTAGGTATTATGCTCCAAAAGCAAAATTTCAAACCTAACTTTAAAATTATTTGTATTTTATACTATAATCCTTATATTTGTCATAACTAGTTCAAATTCTTATAATTTTAATAAATAACTAGCACATATATGAAAATATTACAGCAATATTAAAAGATAAAATGTTACACTAAAACATGAAATTATTAATAGAAATATATAATTAAATATTAAACTATAAATATAAAATACTACATTAAAAGTCTTGTAATATTGTTGTTGTCTAGTTCTAATTTTTACTATTTTAAATCTTATCTTGTTGTTTTTAACAAAAAAAATATGTGTAAAATTTAAATTTATAAAAATAAAAATATGAAACTTCAAATTTGAAGTTTTGAGTAGTGACACTATACTGTATATTTGAAGTTTCACAACTCAAAACTTCAAATTTAAAGTTTTAGATTCTTATTTGGAAAACTAAAAATTTCATATTTGAAGTTATAGAGTGTATTCTATGAGATGGTCTAAACTAATTTAGCTATTGCTGTAAAAAACATGCAATCTAGAACTATATCAAGTTATCAACAGTACAACTTTTCGTTTTTTGTTAAAAATAGACTTGGTTTAGTTTAAAACTATATATAGGCGTCACTGTAATAAATGGACTTTAATTAGTTCGGATAGAATTTATGGTAGGCTTTTCATTTATGAATGATAAGCCTAAAAGTTTGAATGATTGTGCAAGTATCGAAGGATTCTCTGATATTATACTTTTTCTGTTTCATAATAAATGTCCTTTTATATTTTGACACACCGAGTAAAGAAATAATTAATTTTATATATTTTTTATATAAAAAACAACAATTATATATACATTTAATCATATTTTGACCAATAGAAAAATACGTTTTAGAATAAAATTAATAAATTTTGTATTGAAAACTGAAATTGACACTTATTTTATAACGAAAAATTCATCTACAACGATATTTAATATGAAAGGAGGAAATAGTTGCCGATGGAGATAAATGACATTATGTTTGAGGTAGCGGATCGATGGCAGTTATTGATGCTGGACCAAGTTGATGAGGTTTCATGGTGGCTCTTGGTTGGAGGATAACATGTTGCTTCTTTCTGGCTTTGGTGTCGTATAGTTTTCTAAAACTATGATATTGTTCCAAAGCCGAAAATGGAAAGAAGCAGAAGACATTTAAATTGGGATAAATGAATGACTAACTTCTTTTTTTTGTTTTGTGAACAACCATAATGAATCACTAGCTTAATTTTTTTTGTCAACCAATCACTAGCTTAATCTAAATGTACTTTAAGATGATACCATGCTTTGCTCAAAAACAGAAGAAGATGATACCATTTATTGAAGATTTAAAAATGTATTGTATAAAAAATCAAGTATTGAGGATGAACTGATCGGTTTTGAAGGCAACCTACAATCAAAAGTTGTATAAACGTGGTTTTCGAAATTTTAGCAAACTGAAGTTTACAAACGATATCCACCTAAATTTCTTATATGAGGTTAAAAACATACTGTAACAATAGTTTAAAAAAAAAAATACTATAACAAGTACCATCCAATCCATTATCTCCTCGAAATTACTAAATAGACATCTTACTATGAAGTTTTTGTTTAGATATAATTACGGTTACCTTTTAATGAATGCGATAGTGTGTGTGAATCACGTCGATTAACACGCTGTCCAACTACTACAAGATATTTCTGTAAATTGTTTATATAATTTCATTCTTTTGAATGCTAAACTTTGTCGTAAATGACAAAAGTTGATATGATTAAGATAAGGATCAAGATAAAAAAGACACTTTAGACTTTACAGCTAACGATAAATTAAACAACTTATTTATTTTAATAATACAAATCAATAAATTATATTTATTCGGGCTTTGTTGTGGTTGTCTGTGTACGGAATATAAGTAGTCAAATTATGAAATCCTAAAAGCAGTCACACCACCAACCATAATTGCTGTTTTTATACCAGTTATGGTTATATAACTTATAGTATTAATCGTCACGGTTACATAACATTTGGGAAATGGTAAAAACTGAAATCATGAGTAGTAATCATATATAAATATCATATCCTTTAATCTTCAAGGACCTCCAATATCAACAAGGCCATTGCATGTGGATGTTAAGGTTCAGACGAAGTAATTTTGTACATCCAAGTGAACGGTTAAAAGACAATATCGCACATTATAAATAGTACTAATGAGCACTAGTAAGTCCTTTGAATAAAATGTGGATTAATTCGCAAATGTGAGGGTTCTCCCTTTCGTATAAGCCAAAAGATAGGCACATGGATTTCTTATGGACCAAGATGTTTTATATAAATGAGGCCTCTGATGTTGATGATAAAATCTGGGCTTAATGTATTCAATGAGCTATAGTTTCTATGTTGAAGTAACCAGCACCTTCAATATATTTGTGACAAAAAGATTTTATATATTGGACATCTCCAACAGTAAACCAAAGAATCAATTAAAGTGAGATAACACTTTGTGACATATATGTTGTTTTGCCGACATTGTGGATAGATGCATGCGTGTTTGGCTGTGTGGTCCTTCACTCGAAGGTTTTTCTGCACCAAACTATATCACACACCAAGCAGAAGACAATTCCGACAAAACCTTTCATTAATTAACTGGAAAAGCTTGTTGTAGCAGCTAGAGAAAACAACTTATCCTTATTTCTGGATTTGGAGGAAATAGCTCTTTTGGAATTGCATTTATTGGCAATACATTGAACAATTAGCGGTGAGACAAGAGGGATGATTCATGCTAATTCCAGTGAGTTCATTTGATAATTCAAGCGCTACGTGCTTTTAGGGAATACACTGAACTACTGTCGACACAAATAAAATCTCTTTTGACTACAATTTTTTTTGCCTGAATTTACAATGTATTGTTGACATGTCGTGGTGACCAAGTATGGAAGACGATGCATGTATGTTACAGTTACACTACAAGAAAACAGAAGGATACTGACGGCCAAAACCGTTGAAAATCCGTCGGAATAGACATATTCCGACGACGAAACAAAGCGTCGATATCGTTTCGTCAGAAAAAAAATTTCGTCGGAAATCCATGAAGAAAAATTCCGAGAGACGGAAATTCTGACGAACTACCAACAACACTGTGACGAAAGTTATCATCGGAAATTAATCGGTTATTTTCGAGAGAAATCCATCGGTTTATTCCGACGACAAAGTTCGTCGGTATATTCTGACGATAAATGTTTGTCGGAATATTCCGACGACAAGGTTCATTGGTTTATTCCGACGAACCCTTCATCGGATTATATTTTATTTAAAATTAAATATTTATATATATATTAATTATGTATTTTTAAATTTTTGTTTTAAATTAGTAAATAAATTTAATTTGAAATTAAAAATTAATAATATTATAAAAATTAAGTTTACCAAACTGATATTGAAAAAAAAAACATTCAGAAAGTTTTAAACACACAAAACAAACTAAGAACCCAAATGAAACAAACGATCTAGCCTCGCCATTATGTCGAGGTTGGTTTGCTTTTGATCCGCCAGCTGAGATAGGATAGTGGCGTTCTGCTCCTCCAAAGCCCCAATCCGCTGATCTTTTTTCCTTTAACTCCTCCAGAATCATGGGATCAACATACGAGAATTGTGAAGAAAAAGAAGAAGCCGGACATGAATTAACCCGACGAGCCAACCCAACCAAACAGCCTTTCCTTTTAGGAATCGCCTAAAAAATTTTTAAAGTTAGTAATGAAAAATATTATAAAATCAATATAGTAATGAAAAAAATTACCTTTTCGACCATCTCGTTTATTTGCAGTCGGGACAAGTTGGTTGAAGCTCCCGTAGACTCGTCATCAGTGAGAGGCTGAGAAGCTAGAAAAGCTTCTTTTTGAGATTCCACCATCTCAATGACATCTCTGATGATGGGGTCCTGAATTTCACCCATCTCCTTGTT